GTTGAGGAGATGCCCTCGACATGGTTTTCCGGAGGACCAACAACTTTGTTTTTTCTATAACGGGTTGTTGGGCCAAACGAGAGCCTTTGTAGATGCGGCTGCTGGAGGAGCTCTATTGGCTAGAACACCGGAGGAAGCGTCCAATTTATTGGAAGAGATGGCCGTGAATAGTTATCAGTGGCCTTCTGAGAGGTCGAGCCTTAGACGTGTAGCGGAGGTGACATCTTCTGATCCAATTAAGGAGTTAGCGGCTCAGATGTCGTCGTTGACGACGAAATTGAATGCTTTGACGAAAGGAGCTGATGAGGTGAGCGGAGTACAAGGTAATGTGTTACTGCCGGATCCTTTAGAAGAGGCCAATTTTGTCAATAACCGGAACTTCAACAACTATCGCTCCAATCCGATGCCGGGTTTTTATCACCCCAATAATAGGAATCATGAAATTTTTTCCTATGGAAATACGAAGAATGTGCTCCAACCACCACCGGGGTTCAAGGTGGTGAATGGCGAGATTGTCGAAGCGAAGAAGACGGACATGGAAAATATTTTGGCAACCTTCATGAATGAGACGAGAAATCGTTTTAATAAGGATGAGGAGAAGCTAGACAAGATTGAGAGTCATGTGACTCAACTGGCTACAACAATGGGGGCTCAAATGAAGAAATTGGAGACACAAATTGGCCAACTGGCCAAGGTCGTAGGGAGTCAGCACCAAAGGGGTCAATTTCCTAGCAATACGGAGTTGAATCCTAAGGAGCAATGTCAAGCTATCAGTCTTCGGAGTGGAATGGAGTACGAAGGACCGAAGATGCCGGAAGAGGAGAAGAGTGAGCCAACGGGGAAAGAGAGCTCAGAGCTAAGCAAAAAGGAAGAGGAAGTTCGTGAGGAATTAGAGGAAGAACCGAGTGTCATATCGAAAAAAGGGGCTGAGAAGCTTAAATCTACTTCTAACTCTGATTCTCATAAACCTTCTATTATTTTACCTTTTCCCCAACGATTTCAAAAGAAGAAATTAGATGCTCAATTTGCTAAATTTTTGGATATCTTTAAGAAAATTCATATAAATATTCCTTTTGCAGAGGCCTTGGAACAAATGCCAAATTATGCGAAATTCTTGAAGGATGTGATGTCTAAGAAGAGGCGAGTGGAGGAGCATGAGACAGTGAACTTGACCGAAAAGTGTAGCGCGATTCTCCAACGCAAATTACCTCAGAAGCTGAAGGATCCCGGGAGTTTTACAGTGCCTTGCACTATAGGAAACATTTTCTTTAGTAAGGCTTTATGTGATCTTGGTGCGAGTATTAATCTTATGCTTTTGTCGATTTTTAGGAAGCTGGGATCGGGAGAAGTGAAGCCATCCACGGTAACCTTGCAATTAGCGGATCGCTCGATAACATACCCAAAGGGGATCGTGGAGGATGTGCTTGTCAAGATTGATAAATTCATATTTCCAGTAGATTTTGTTGTTTTGGACATGGATGAAGATAATGAAGTGCCATTGATTCTAGGGAGACCGTTTTTAGCCACGGGAGACGCCTTGATTGACGTCAAAAAAGGAGAACTTACTTTGCGTGTTAATGATGAGCATGTTTTATTCTCTATATATATATAAGGCTATGAAATTTCATGATAATAATGCGCATTGTAACTTTCTTGACTCTATAGATTCATGTGTATTGACTCATCTTGATCATACATTGTGTAGAGATTCGTTGGAATATGGATTAAGTAAATCTTGTTCTCCTAATGACTTGATGCTTGAGTTAAATGATTCTAATTTATATGAATACATGTGTTCTTTGGATTCTACACAGGAGGTTATCATGCCGGAAGGGATCTTGAGTTTGCAGACCAAAAAGGAGAGCAAAAGAGATGAAAACAGAATTTTCAGAGGTGACACGGACGACGACACGGCCAAGCCGCCCGTGTCAGGTGACCGTGTCAAATTACTGGGAGGAGTTCAGAATTTTTCAACGCGACACGGACGACGACACGGGCCGTGTCACGTGCCCGTGTCAGATTGTCAAGCTCAGGTTTTGCGACACGGACGGCGACACGACCCGGATCTCCAAGCCCGGGCCGTGTCAGAGGTCGTTTCGATCCCCGGCAACGGCGCCAAATTTGTTGTAGCAAATTATTTTATTTTTTTACCGTGTACCGAATCGAAGGATTCGTTACCCGAGTCGATCTCTCGAGGAAGACTGTTCAGAATTTAGCGTTGGTCTTGATCACACACGAAAAGAAAATAAGTACTAAACACTCTAATCACGATTGATTTGGGGAATCAACTAAAACAAGCTAGAACTAGAAAAGCAATTTAAAGAAATAACAATTAAATTCCTAGAGAAAAAGAAGAAGGTCTAGGGGTCGGGAAATCTCATCAAGTCTTAAACTATGTTGAACACTTATTTGTTCGGTTACGAGATTAAACAAGCCTACACGTCTAGAGGGCTATGCTCAATAACTCTTCGTAACAAGAGCACAAACATAAACGATAAATTCATTCAAACAAGCAACACATAGACAATACTTTTACGAACATGTCTACTCTATACGAGCCTAAATCGACCGACGTCTCCCCTCTCGGTTCTAAACGTCGATTAACTAGGTTAGAATGGTGACCAATCAACTAACCATATAATTCACACAACTCGTATAGATTGAACAAAACACATTCCTCATAATTCAAAACAAGAATCAAAATCCCTAACCCTAGGTGAATGGATTACCTCATGCTTAGATTCAATTTCATGTTAACCGGAATTAAGAACATAAAACCAATCAACAATAATAAAATAGAATTGAAAAACTTACAATCGGATTAAGAGTTGCAAGATTTCAATCCAAATAACTTTGTGTCCAACAATCCAAGCATGAGAGAAAAAAAAGAAAAGTGGAGAAATTTATCCTAACAATATTGAGTTTTTAGAGAAAAATTGAAAGGAACGATATTGGGGATTGTTCCTTAGGTCTGGGGGTTCGTTTTCATATATAGAGCTCGAAAAACGGAGCTAAAACGGAGAAAAATAAAAACAGGGTCGAACAGGTCGCGACTCGCGAGTTGACTCGCGACTCGCGAGTCGGACGGGTCGTGGGGTTGCGCAGCTGGTCGGAGGCTCTGTTAAAGTCGCGAGTCGCGACTTTGCTCTCGCGAGTCGCGACGTAGGCTCGTTTTACGTTTCGGGCTCGTTTGGACTCATCCGAACTCGGAATTGAGTTCCGTTTTTTGCTACGCGTCACTAACGAACCCATCTATCCAATTGTGCTCTCGAAATCAACTTTTCTTGAAGATAAAATTCGCCCGAAGCTCCCGACCTACACACCAAAAATGACAAAACACGAAGAAAACCGGAAAAACAAACGAAAAAACACCTAAAGACTCAAAATGAAGGAAAACACATAATAAAACATGAAACGGACTAAAAACTAAAGAAACGACCTAAAACGGGAGAAAAAGAAAGGTAAAATAAACACGAAAAAGGCAACAAAAATAGGACAAACATCGGGGGTCGTGTCAGATGCGCAGTCCATCCCTGTTTCACCCGAATCAAGTTCTTCAAAGCCCGACGCACCGATTATGGACCTCAAACCATTGCCTGATCATCTGACATATGCATATTTGGGTGATAATCGCACATATCCGGTAATTGTATCATCTTCTCTAACTTCTGAGCAATTAGATAAACTGTTGAGGGTGTTACGCACGTATAAGTCGACTATAGGTTGGTCTATGTCTGATCTTAAAGGTATTAGTCCATCGCTTTGCATGCATAAAATAAGATTAGAGGAAGACTATAGACCATCTGTGCAGAACCAACGACGCTTGAACCCTGTTATGCAAGAAGTTGTTAGGAAAGAAGTACTTAAATGGTTAGATGCCGGGGTTATTTTTGCGATTTCTGATAGTGAGTGGGTGAGTCCGGTACAAGTGGTACCGAAAAAGGGAGGAATGACAGTAGTGAAAGATGAGAAAGAGGAATTAATTGCAACTAGGATAGTAACGGGTTGGCGAATTTTTATAGACTATAGGAAATTAAATGCCGCAACTCGTAAAGATCATTTTCCCCTCCCTTTTATTGATCAAATGTTGGATCGTTTAGCAGGAATGGACTATTATTGCTTTCTCGATGGTTATTCGGGGTACAATCAAATTATGATCGCCCCGGAAGACCAAGAGAAAACCACCTTCACATGTCCTTATGGTACTTTTGCATTTCGTAGAATGCCATTTGGTTTGTGTAATGCTCCTGCTACTTTCCAACGGTGCATGATGGCAATTTTTCACGGTCTTATTGAGAATGTTATGGAAGTGTTTATGGATGATTTTTTGTGTGTTTGGTGACTCGTTTGATTCTTGTTTGCATAATCTTACTCTAGTTCTGCAGAGATGTGAAGAGACTAACTTAGTCCTTAACTGGGAGAAGTGCCATTTTATGGTACGAGATGGTATTGTTTTGGGCCACAAAGTTTCATCTGTAGGATTGGAGGTAGATCGGGCGAAGATTTCAGCGATTGAGAAGCTTCCACCTCCCTCGAATGAAAAGGCTATTCGGAGTTTTCTTGGGCATGCCGGCTTCTATAGACGGTTTATTCGTGATTTTTCTAAAATTTCGAAGCCTTTGAGGGATCAAATGTATTTTTGTGGGGTACATGGGAGGCAAGAAAGGATATCACTTGTATGATTTGGACAGTGATAAGTTGTTGGTGGCCAGGGATGTTATATTTCTTGAAGATCATTTCCCTTTTTCTACACAACCTGAGAGAGAGAGCAGTACATGATATGTAAGAATGATTGGTTGATATTATTTAATTATATTAATAATATTAATGATAGTTGGGTTGAGTTAAAGTTGAGTTAAAAAAGTGGTTGAGTTAAAAATGTTTGGATTTTTTGGATAAATTTTGTATCCAAGCATCCTAACTTCTCAATACAACACATAAACAGACAAGCAAAAATGATAGGATACAAGATCACCATTACAGCAACAAGAGGCAAAAGGTCAGTGGTGATATCCAAAATAATCTCTAATGAAAGCCGACACCATTTTGGTTTCACCAAACACCACGATTTCTTTTTCCACGTCACCATACTGTGACGTGAGCATGCCGTTTAGCGACCAAGAAGTCGGGACCATGTAATGACCGTGAATGCAGTTGCTTGGAGCAATAGGTACGGAATTTTGATGATGACCTGACGAAGATTCAAGAGGCAATTCATTGGGTTAGAAAGACGAACGTGATCTTTTCTTCCTGGACATTCTATAATTAGAAAGTCGAACTTATAAGATGAGAACAAAACTCCAAGATAATGCATACCTGTGCAACTGAATAAGCCCACGAAGCATACATTCGAGCAAACCTTTCTCTGTACACAACACTCTGCTCTCTGTTGACATACGGCATAACTGAATTGAAATTGTTAGTGCCACAGAAAAGTGTCGAGCTATACATTGAGCTGAATATGGTCAACAGGCTCCGCTGATTCTTTCTGTTCATATATATATATATATAGGGGATGGATCCAATGAGACCACTCCTTAAAATGAGTACGTGAGACTCAATCTTAGCCACTCATTTTGTCTAGATCAAAATCAATTAAAATATACATTAATTAAATAATAAAATAGTTGACCGTTGACTCCGGCGTTATCGTTGACTTCCGGCGAGAATCGTTGACTTCCGGCGTTGATCGTTGACTTCCGGCGTTGACCGTTGACTTCCGGCGTTGACCCGTTGTATTAAAATAAATAACCTAGCAACAAAAGACACTCAACCTTGAGTGGTGTAGTGGTTGCATTGCTTGTCTTACCTCCATGAGGTACCAGGTTCAAATCCTATGGGTTACAATTTTTTTATAAAAAAAAAATACAACTAACTTAGCAACATCAGACAACTAACCTAGCAACAAAACACAACTAAC